ATCTGAATTGTTACTCAACTTAGAGCGCGAACAAGGATTTCAAGTCAGTTTCAACAGAAAAATCCAAATACCTCAAAAACTTTGTGTGAACGGGTATATATGTTTTGATTGATTTAGATAGAGGATACCATGCCGAATATTTTGAAAAAAAAAATTATTGAAATCGGTTGGATATTTTCCGAGATATTTGTGAGAAAAGGTTAAAAAACGAATGGATATTGCTCAAAAACTAATGAACGGATCAAGCTGAAGTTTGGCATAGAGTTAGTCTCAAGTTATACCAATTAACTGAAAAAATTTCAAACTTTTTGGAATGATTTTTCCTGTTTAATTATCAAATTTATGAAAAAATGACCACCGACTGGTCAGTGTCACGCACAGACATGGTCCCCAAACTTCGCATTTTTACGTTTCAGACCATTCTGCATCATTTCCAAGCAAAATTAGAAAATGTGAAAATCGAACGATTGCAATGCTTCTATTCGAAAGGAAAAAGAAAAAAAAATTGCTTTCACGGTTCTGGTGTTCCGTCTCAGTCACCCATCCAGTTACTAACCGCGCTCGAAGCTGCTTAATTTTGATGATCGCTAGAGTCCCGTGAGTCCTAGCCTGCCACTCTGAAATTCTTGAATGTGATAACTCTTATGGGCTATATAAGCCGGTAGTTGCGCTTTTACGCATACACACTTGAATCGAAACTAATAAACTATTCTCAATACATGTTTTTAAATATTTATTTATCGAATATTAATTATCGACTTGACGGGTTTTCTTCTCAACAATTATTATAATTATTAGTCTTGACCTATACGGTTGATTAGACACATAAGGGCCAGACGTGATCACTTTCGCTCAGGGTTCACCATATACGACGAGCTTGCCTCATTCCGAATAGATCAGGGTCAAGTATATGATGTATACGGTGTGCCGGAGCCCGGCAAGGCGTATTTCCATTTGAGCAGGGTCTGACCAAGTGGGTTTGAGATTCACCGGATACCGGCGAACCTCAATTGAAATAGATCAGGGCCTGATAGGCGAAAAGTACGGCATGCCGGAGGCCGGTAAGCCGGATTCACATTTGAGCAGGGCCGAATCAAGTTTGTCTGAGGTTCCCCCTCTCCGGCAAGGCTTACTCGGAGTGAATCAGGGCCTGACCTACAACGTATACGGCTTGTCAAAGGCCGGCTGGCCTTATTTCACATCAATCAAAGCCGGGTACATACTCGAGTGAAAATTGCTTCAGGCCCACCTGAAGGACGATCAGAACTTCATCAGGTTTATGTAAGGTTCGACTGATCCGGTGATTCCTGATGAGAACCTGACCAAGTTCTGATCCAGCAGATCGGATCCGAAAAACTACAGGCGGGTTCAGATCAAGTTCTGATCAGGTAGACATGATCAGATGATGCCTGATGAGAACCTGACCAAATTGTGATCCAGTAGATCGGATCAGAAAAATTGCAGGATGATTCAGATCAAGTTCTGATTAGGTTATTGTCATTATTATTATTCATTAGTAAAATAAATAAAAATTTTATTGAGCATATTTTATCTCTGAGAATACATACGCACATCCGCGAGATCAGGAACAATCGCAAATTCAACGAATACCCCGATACAAATCATATAGGCAATGTACAGTTTATTCAATAGTAATAGCGAGACAGCGTAGTGGTTAGGGCATAGGATTAGCAATCATAGGATTCCCGGTTCGATCTCCAGCATCGGTAAAAAAATAATAAGCTTTTTCAGAGGTAATAACAGTAGAGATTCATTAAGAGAGGCAGCCTACGGTGAAAGAATTGAATTATCTTTTGTTTTGGATTAATTATCATTGATAATTGTTATCGATACTGACAGACAGGTCATCCGGTTTTCATACAGTTGACTTGATTAAGTTCGGATCCATTCGTCCTGATCAAATTCGGATTGCTCAGAGGCGTAACATGTCTGATCAAGCCCGGATCCGTCAACTTGATCAATACCTGATCAGTGGTCAGGTCTTACCTGATCCGAACTTGATCAAGACCTGACCGGAATTTCCACTCGGGTAACGCGGCTTTTAATCAAGACTTGATCAGGCCTAACAGTTCCGGATTTGATCAAGCTGACGTATTCAAACCTGATGACTTGTCTGCCGGAATCAATAATAATTATTAGTGATAACTAATTCAAAACAAAAGATAATTCAATTTTTCCACGATAGGTGGCCTCTCCTAATGAATCCCGACCGTAATTACTAGTCCTAAGCCCTAATCACTAGACTATCGCAGTATTGTTATTACGGGGACTCCGTTTTGTCTATATGATCTGTATCTGGGTATTTGTTGACTTTGAGATTATTTATGATCTCGCCGATTTGCGCGGATATTCAGAGAAAGAAAATTTGTTTAGTTAAAATTTTATCCATTTCATTAATGGATAATAATCCTGATAATCATAACATTAATGAACAAATGGGAACTTGATATGTTTTTTTCTAGTCAAGATAATTTGCCTGTGAGTGTGACACTTCTACTATATGTAGTTATTGAGCCACCCCTCCCTCTCTCCGCACAATTAATTAAAAAATCAATTAAAAATTGATTAAAAATTAATTAAAAATTTTAATTAATAAAAAATTTTATCCTCGGAAAAGGTATGTTCAAAATAAGATCAAGTAGACTGGATCCGAACCTTATCATTTTTTTTTTCCATTAACCCGGTTCAAATGAAAATCATTTGCATCAAATACGAATCGGATCAAATTGGGTTTAGGGAACCTGACCTCAGACTAAGATCATGTCTACCTGATAAGAACTACATCTGAGCCCGTCTGAAGTTTTTGGGATCCGATCGAGTGGATCAAAACTTGGTCAGGTCCTCATCAATCGTCACCTGATCATGCCTACCTGACCAGAACTTGATCTGAACTCGCCGTTATTTTTTGGGATCCGATCGACTGGATCAAAACTTAGTCAGGTTTTCATCAGGCGTCACCTGATCATGCCTACTTGACCAGAACTTGATCTGAACTCGCCGTTATTTTTTGGGATCCGATCGACTGGATCAAAACTTAGTCAGGTTTTCATCAGGCGTCACCTGATCATGCCTACTTGACCAGAACTTGATCTGAACTCGCCGTTATTTTTTGGGATCCGATCGACTGGATCAAAACTTAGTCAGGTTTTCATCAGGCGTCACCTGATCATGCCTACTTGACCAGAACTTGATCTGAACTCGCCGTTATTTTTTGGGATCCGATCGACTGGATCAAAACTTAGTCAGGTTTTCATCAGGCGTCACCTGATCATGCCTACTTGACCAGAACTTGATCTGAACTCGCCGTTAGTTTTCAGGATCCGATCGACTGGATCGAAACTTGATCAGGGTTTCATCAGGCGTCACCTGATCATACCTACCTAACCAGAACTTGATCTAACTGGCCGGTAGTTTTTGGAATCCAATCCACTAGATCAAAACTTGGTCAAGTTCTCATCAGAAATCACCTGATCAGTCAAATCTTACGAAAACTGAATCAAGTTCTGATCATACTTCAGGCGGACCTGAAGCAATTTCCACTCGGGTATGTTGGCGTACATTAGGAGAGTGATGCATTCGCTATCGCTTCACTCTGAATGACTCCAACATAAAGCTCATAGCAATCCAGCATTAATTGAAAAAATTTAATGATTAATGCACAACTCAGAACGGTTCTCACTTATTATTTCAAACTCGATTTTAAAAATATCTCCAGAATGAGAAAACCGGAGAATGTTGGTCGAAAGTCTTTTGAAACTCTTATAAAAATGTTTTAGCTTGGAAAATATTCACAAAGGAACTTATTTCACATGTAGGGAGGTATCTCCGGTCATCAATTTGCTCTAGATTTTAATCAGTGGGGATCTTGGAAGTGGCTCAGGAAAATTTATCAGAATTTCTTCTTTTTTGCTAACGAGTGCGGCCGCGCGGGCTGCGGACACGTCTTCTCTTCTCCTCACGTAGTGGCGCTTCGGTTTCAGTCTTACGCGTACGCTTATTCGAGATTTTCGAGATATTTCGAGAGCGATTTCCTTTCTCCTTTTTACGATAGGATTTCTTGGACTATAAAAAACAGTCTTCTTCCATTGTGATACAAATTTTCGGAAATATCGTATTCCAAGGATTTTTTCTAGATTTTGTAGCACCAATATTTTAAAAATAAAGAGATTCAGAGAAATTATTCTGAAGACTTTGGAGGAAAAATTTCAAGGCCTGCAAGAAAGCTCATTTAAGGGAGGATTCAACAATTACGTCACGCGATTAAGGGGGGGGGGCTTGTCTTGAATGTTGTGATGACACGCTCAGATTTTTATTTTCTCATTTGATTGAAGAAAAAAATTTAAAAGATTAAAAATCCTTTTCTTTTTTCATTTTCAAACGAAGGGGAGATGAAGAATACGATGATTATCACTAAGTGACGCGCATTAATAAGCAGTCATCAGTTGCAATTCTTAATGCTGTGATGGCAATGTTATGTTATGTTATGTTGTGTTATATGTATTTACCAACATTAAATAAAGAAATTGATGGCGCTTGTATTCGAATTTTTCTTGATTTTTATTTTTAATTCCTATTTTTTCATTTGATTTTTCACATTAATCGAGGGGGTGGGGGGTCTTGATATCGTAACGTAATATTCCAGGGAGGGTCTTGCGTTTGTGATAGCCTGCGACGGGATGGGGGGGGGGGGCAAAATATCCAAAAAAGCGTGACGTAATTGTTCAATGCTCCTTAAAAAATTTTCCTGAGTCGCTTCATTCTCAATGGAACTGAAAAAAAAATACAGAAAGAAAAAAAGCAAAAATAAGTTATTTCCATAAATAGAACAAACAGATGTAAAAGGTGGAAAACAATTGTTTTATCACAATCTATTTCAATCTCATCCGATTATCATCGTGTTAATGTTATCTGTGTGACTCATCGATATATTATACGTCGCACTTCCGAGTAGAAAAAATCGAAGAATGTGAAATACAAACCATTGCCGGAATACACCACAACAGCTACTAATGCCTGCAGCCCTGCATCATTATCATTCTTCACGAAAACCTGATGACCCTTGGGATCAATTTGGAGTCCCACATTCGATCCAGTCACAAGGATTTTATTATCGAACGACGCTGTGTACGAAAGCGTAATATTCCATTCCTGGGTATGTACTTGAACAATCATGAAGGAAACAACCGGCGCAATATTTACGACATCGATAACACTAATTGTGTTTGCCTTCAACTGCACTTGATTAGAAAATGCCCAACCATTCGTATCAGAAGCATTGAAATCAGAAATTGAAACATTGATACGTGGATAACCTGGAATGCATATAAATACAAGAAATGATAATAAAAGAACAATGATACAATCATAAGCCAAAAAAAAAAATCGCTCGATGACGCGATTACATTCTCAGGTTTTTGTTTTTTCACAACATTAGCTACAAAGAATTAAAATGAATACGCAAATGATAACATTGATAAATCAAATTTTATTTCTTTCTTTTGCTGTTTCTCCTTATTATTTATGCAATTATCTTTAAAATGAGTCGTCGTATGCTAAAATGTCAAGCGATTACCCAGAAAACAATTTTTGTCACTGCCATCTAAAATTTAACACGACATCGACAATTTGTCGACAAATTGTCGACATACTGTTTGCTGGGTATTTTTGCATATAAGAAAATTTCTCAAAACAAACGTACTCTGACCCTTCATCCTGAAATGAATTATATGTCGGCTGTAATAGGGTAAATAGGTCAATTTCCGGACGGGGGTTAGTTTCTGGACGGTTTCAACTTGCATTGAATATTCCATAAATAAAATGAAAATTGTACTGATCATTTCACCTTTCAATAATATTACTCATGTATAATCATGTGATCAATTATTGTTTCTATTGATCGACATTTAATAAATGAAAAAAATATGGCCCAGTCGTTCAGAACTCAGGGGTTTCGGCTGCATTCAACTATTTCTTAATTTAATTATTCTTTGTTTCATTATTTTCACTTCAAATAATTTTTTTCTGTTCATTAAAACATTCTTGAACGTATGGAAGCCATCATATCTCCATTTAGGTGATTCTTTTATTTTAGATCCTACCACAAAACTCGAATTTCCCTAAACCGTCCAGCAATCGGTCTGTTCACCCTACTTCAAGAATTTCAAAATTCTTTGATGCAATAGCAATGAGAGGGATTTTATTACCAAATTTATCTCGTTCATTGATATGTAGGGAAACTTGAGAAAATGTTCGATGAAAATATTCGATGAATTTTTGAAGGTCGAGGGGTATTCGGGGGATTATTTCTTCCATTTTGATTTTGGCTAACCGGAGTGCGATGTTCGCGGTTACGTGATACGTTCCACGAAAATGTGAGGAATATCTGGCATATTAGTAGAAAACAATTGATAGGCTACAGGGAAACTATTAAACGTGTCACGTGACTGCGCGTGCTGCGTTGATTGGTCGAAATCAGAATTAAATTATGACGCTTTTATCCGTTATAACGAAATGAGTGTTGGTAAATTCTGTAGCTATTTTCGAATTGATTGATTCTATAATGAAACATCCAAAGACCTTTTCTGTGGCTGAAAAAATCCCCCATCAAATATCTCCCTTAATACTGAATATTAGCCAACATCAAACAAAATGGGAGGAATCGTCTCATTTACCTCTTCAAAAAAGATTCTCAATCCTTCAATTACCTTGGAATTAGATGAAAAAACAATAGGAAATAAAAAAAAGTTCTCAACATTTCATCGTAAAATTATTAGTGACAAACATTATTATTTCATAGTGCCAATAACTTAATTTGATACACGTTATTACTTTTTTAAGCCATCATTCAATCAATTCAGAACAGTTGTTTCAGTTATCGTAAAAAACAATTTTTGAAAATTTTTCTAAATTTACAAAATTGATAAATTAATTGAATTTTAATTAATGGCGATTGATAAGGCTCAACAATACTTATCTTTGAGGGAAAAAAAGATTCTATTCCACCGATTCATTGGTGAACAATGGAACAAAAATTTGTTTATATACGTACATACATACATAAGGACACGGTCTAAAAATGGCCTTTTCGGACTTTTTGGATTATAATGGATATAACACAAATAACACGATATAATACGAAAAATCCAAAACTTGACCCTAGATTCAGTAGCAAAACGGTAAATCGGGTTAAATCGATTTTTACTTTTGGTCAGTTTTTTATGAATGTCTTGGAATTTAAGATAGATAGCAAAATTTTTCTCATTACTTTTTTTATAACCTTCAATTGGCTCTACAAAAAAGGGCATGACAAAAATTTTTCAATTTCTATTAGATTTCGAGATATTTGTCAAAAACTGGCCAATAGTCAAAATCGACTTAAAGTAGTATGGTCACTCTCCAAAGTGATCGTTGAGTGTCCGTCAAGAAAATCCAAAAAAATTAATCAAAAAACTGATTTATAATTGAAAATTCTCTTTGTGAATTATAAAATTTATGAATATAGGAATTAATCGATTATTTTTATTATTTTTCACTTATTATTCGAATAATGTACCTCCTTTGACTAGCGTCGTTTTATGTGTGGCAACACTGTAACTTAAGAGCGTAGGGAAAACGATATTTGAAATGCCCGCTTGTCCCCACTCCACTAACGCGTCGTTGCCGCATCTACTCGACACGCAATTTCCGAACACCGAGGAGCAGAAATTATTTATAACTAAAGTCCCAAACGGTCAATAATTTTCATCGGTGGTCGTAAATTTTTGTTTTTTTCCCATTTTTTTTGGATTTTTTAAATAATTTAATCTTGGATTTATCATAAAAACCACCCAAAAATGTGATTTGCCTATAAGACTCTGTGTTAAAATCTAGTTTTTCATCAATTCTTATCAACCATACTAAACGATCAATGTGCCACAAATTGCACCAGGAGGTTTTTATTGATATTAACTTTCATAAAAAAATGATTTCATATTTTAATCTTGGAAATCGATCCCTGACCATACTACTTTAACCCGGTTTTACCGCTTGGCTACTGGATTGGTCACCCTGTGCGAGAAACCTCGCCGTGCGTCGGTTCACTTTAATTACACCTGAGTGGCTAACCGGGAAAAATGAAAAAAAAATTGAATTTGTCAATTGAAGTGTCTAAAAAATTATAGTAGTTTTTAGAAAAACATATTTCCCAAAATTCCTAAAGAAAACAAATTATTTGGTAGTAAAACGGTAGGGGAGTTTGGGGTAAAACGGACCCTTTTGACTTTTTTTCAAATGTTAATAAGGGGTTGGCATGTTGATGAAATTTAATTTTTTTTTCAATACAAAGAACAATTCTTTCCCTTTGTGATAAGCCTAAACTGAGCTCAATTGATAAATTTGTTTGTGAGTTATGAATAATTTTTAAAAAGTCTAACGTGTCCATTTTACCCCACCCTCCCCTACTAGTCAATTTTGACTATTGACCAATTTTCAATGAATATCTCGGAATCTAAGGGAGATAGCAAAATTTTTGCTATAACCTTTTTTGTAGAGCCGATTGAGTGCTACAATAAATATATTTACGAAAATTTCGCTATCTCCCTCAGATTCGGGAATATTCCTCAAAAACTCAACTGGGAGATAAGTCGACTTAAACCGTTTTACCACTTCGCCACTGATTTTTTCCTATGTAAAATGAAATTGCCCAAGACGCGACGTTGCCGGAAACTCGCTAAACGTGCTCGGGCAGTGTAGAGTGAATTTGGCAGCGTTAAAGCCTAAATAATACGGCGAGAAATCCTCGCGAAGGTGACCGAAGTCGCAGGGTCGCGTTTGGTGACCAGACTAGGGTTAAATTTGAACGATTACAATGCTTCCATTCGGAAACAAAAAAGAACAAAAAATGATTGTGAATAAAGTTCTGTAAACACTGATTAAAGAACTAAATGTAATGGATAAAACTCTACTCAAGAGAATTTTTTTATACAATTACGACTTTGATGCTTCGAAGATGTATTCGATGTAAATTTCTGTTGCCTTTAGAGGATCTCTGTATCTCAGGGTATAATAAATCGCATTCTATTTATCTATCTATCTATCTATCTAAAAAATTGATATCCGATTGAACACAAACATCCTCCACTAATCAACCTCGAAAATAATCAAAACAATTACATAACAACAATGAAAAAAACTCAATGAAAAAAAGAAATGAAATTCCGAAGAAATTGCGCCGCAGAGAATGTACATGAATAAAACAACCCATTGGGATATCAACAAAAAAACATTGAACAAGGTTATGTTTTTCTTACCGGGCGCACCACCAATCATCACACTCCCCCCAGTGAACCCCAACACACCAAGAAAAACCCCCCAAACCACAACCTCCCATGGTCCTCCCATCCTCTCTGCCCGCAAACCAATAAACCCTCTATCAACTTTACTAAACGAATACGTTCGTCTTCTCGGTCTTCGACCACTCTCAAAACGTCGAAAAGTCACTCCACTATTCCGTACGGTACGGCGCAACAGCTGTGAATCCCCATGGCACTGTCGCGGTGAGACGCGAGCGGGGAGGTCTACTACTGATCCTCTCGTTTTCGTAACCTCTATTTCCACCGCAAGGTGTCAGTTCAGTTGGCCCCAAGATGGCCACGTTGGATCAATGAAACTCGAGTAAATTTCGTAGTAAAATATCCGAAAAATCAAGTATTGTACAGGTGTGTCTTGATGTGTCTGTTGGTTTGTAGTTTGTAAATGGGAGATGGGAAAGGATCAGGAGCTGCTGGAGGCAGCGAGAAGTGGGAATGTCACTGTTGTGGAGAAAATACTTGGACAACGAGCGAAAAGGAGTGGTCCACTGGCAAGGTGGGTGTCAACCAGCACACAATAACTCCTTAAAATATTTTTATCCTCATTACCTAGCCTCCAAAGGGTCAAACAATTTTTCAAAATTTTTCTAAACCTCCAGAATTTCAAAAGGTGAAGACAATTATCTACAGAGATTTTGACATTTAATTAGAAGAGAATCAGGTCGTACTACTTGTTTGTTGTAATGATTTTTAGTGTATTGATGCATTAACTCAAAAATCCCGGGGAGAAACTATTGAGACGACACTAATTGTCAAATTAAATTTCGAAGGGGAATTATTTACGGGGATTTCGGGTGATTGAGGTTAGGAGGATCGACCCTTGTGTATAAATTTTATCCTTGGGTCAGTAGTTTGTGTATTGTCAGATTACTTTTTTTTCGGGTGCGCGACCTTTCTCTATCAAATCGCGAGGGAATAACCCGCGCAGTCTACTTGTATTTTTCGAGGCTCGATATGGATTTATTATCGATGGAAATCAATTTTCCCTTTAAGAAAACTGCATGAGCTGAATATAAAGTATTTGTTAATTTGGAATTATCTTCGGAGTGAACAATTTTCGAATAAAATCTCATGAGACTTGATATGCTATGAATAAATATTTTTTTTACAAATTATTGAATTTGCTGAAAAATGTTTTTCGATTAATTTTTCCTAAATCTATTTTTATCGAAAATATTTTTCAAAAAAGTAGATTCATCATCTCTTTTATTGGAAATTCGTGCTTCTTTAAACAAACGATTTTGTTTATTTACATTCTGAATTTTCCTTTCAACATAATATTGCAGCTTATCATGAATCATTCACATGTACTTGTTGCAAATTCTTTCCCAGCGCAATTGAAACAGATGACGAATCTAGAGTTGAGTCGTAACGAGGAAGCGTGCCGAATTCATGGGTTTCCTCGTTATCACCCGACCAAGCAATAACAATTTCAAACTGAGTTGAGAATGAGTCACGGTTGATACTGCAGCGTTAGCATTGCGTGTGTACAAAAGTCGTGTCATGGTATCGAGCCCACGACCCACCTCCCCGGCCTTCTATTCAATAAAAAAAAAACGTAACAAATGTACAGGAGGAACGAATAGGTAAAAAAAGAATGTGTGATTACGTGGAGGTAAATCAAAACTGGAGTTGACCCAATCACCGATCCCTGCACCTCGCACCCCTTTTCTCATGTGATTTCGGAGTTTGGGCACGTGCCACAACCAGCAATATTTTCGCTCCTACAATGCATGTTTATCCACTTTGTTTTCTACACTTTGTTCTGAAGGAAAGACCTCACTCTTTACCTCATCAATGTCCTCGGCGTGTTTTTCATCTCAGAGGCTTGAGTTTGTCGAATAAATTTTTATCGACCTCTTGTCCATCGTCTTTGACGCAGCGATAATGGAATCTATTCGAGTCTATTTATTTTTGGGGTCGGTTCGGTGATAAGATGAAACGCTGTGCAGTGTCTGCAGAACCTGATGGTCTCGAGTAGGGATGCAAAATGACGGTCATTTTTAACACTGGTCAGGTCAGTGGTAAAATGACCGTTTTCTGACCATTCCTAACCTGACGTCCATTTTGTGATGCAAACTGACCGGTCATTTTTTCAAGTGGTCAGTCATTTTTTTTCTGTGTCATTTATAGTGAAAAATTATCTATCTAGATGAAACCTGACCATCATTTTTGTGTTCGGTCACTTTTTGGTAATTTTTTTTTTTTTAATGTTGTTTCACCGATCCTCAGGGAATTCGAAGCCGTTTGATAGCACTAAAACTTATGAATGAATTTTATTTTCATTTCCGATTTTTTCCGAATTTATCTCTTCTTCAGAGGAAAAAAGAATATGGGCATTTACAAAAAAAAACTTTTATTGTTAATCTTAGGATCTATACATTCGTTTTTGTTTGATCACATAGAAACTTCTTATCAATAATTAGTTATGAGCTAACTAATCTTTGGATTCATAGCTTCAATTCCACTGAAGAATAGTTTGATACGTTTTAGAGACATGGGAAAAACTCTGGGAAATCATCATCATCGTATCCATCATTGGGAGTTCCGTCTGTGGCATCATCATCATCATCATCAGCACTCAAGTCTGACTCCAGCTCCCCAGAATCCTCATCTTCCGTTCCCTCTCCGTCGACATCCCCAGGAGTCTCTCGAGTCTTTTTTTGTCCGCAGGCCGAAGACGTCGCTCGTTGCAATATTCTGAGCACAACATCGGTGTCAAATAGGCGAATGTGAAATTTGGTTTAGGAAGCTTTCATGTATCCCATAAGCTTTCATCATTGGCAGTATGACTGGCGAAGAATGATGCGACATTGATATGGCATTTTTTTAATTGAATGTCATCAGTGAACTTTTGCTTTAAAAAAACTGGTAGATTATCTTCATCCCACTTCGATTCTTAACAGGCCACTTAGGTATCTGGAGCTGAAGCAATAGGCCGTAAACGGCCAAAAATTTATAGAAAGTGCAATAAACATCCACTTTGATTTGTTTGAAACATTTGTTTGATTGATTTTTCAGTGGATTTCTCAAGTGAAAAAAGTGGTTTCATGGTTTGAGGTTATACTTCCTGTCTCGATTGGATTCTGGCAATTGGGAAATGAATGAATTGATACTTCCAATTGAGGGTCATGTGTCAAGTCTTTCCATTCAATGTCGAAATTGATAAGTATATATCTGATGGTCTTACCTGTGTTTAATCATGTGATATTCAATATTTTTTATTCAAAGCGTGAATCAGCCGATCAGTTGAGGAGCGATGTTTCCACTACGCGTCACTCTCCATAGACATATATATCATACCTAGAGAGTTGAGACAGAGAGAGAAAGGATCCTGTTCTCAACTCTTCTCTGTCTAACACGTCATGTGCCCCTCTCTAGGTACTACCGTACTACACATTTATGAGTGGCGAATGTCACACTCCATCGAAAGAAAAAAAAATTGAGTGGCGTCTATCTAGATGCAAAGTGACCGTCATAAAAGTATTTGGTCATTTTTGTGACACAGAATTTTGTCATTTTTTTATGACCGAAATGGTCACAAATTTGCGTTCGGTCAGTGACCGTCAAATGATGCGTCAAATGACGGTAAAATTACCGGTCAGTTTTCTCCGTTGCATCCCTAGTCTCGAGACGGCTGCATATAGGACGTTGAGAAGCTCAACAAGAAAATTCACTTCGTCAAAACAAGTATCCGGTGAACAGACAAATCAATCGTTTGGTGGCTTAATAGTAGAGCAAGGCATTCCGGTCGTTGATTTCGTTTTGGTTGTCCTGCAAATATTTTTGGAGCTTCTTTGGAGGACATTTTTTGGCTATGAAAAAAAGTCTTTCAATTTTTTGTTTGAACCTTTGATATGTAGTTAACCAACGGTTGCAGGTCTCAATTCGAAAATATTTTCGGAGTGAAGAGATTCGAAGGAATGTATTAACATACCTTCTTTGCAGGAGACTTCTCTTAGTAGTTTCATCTGTGTATACATATTAGCTTCAGAAACATTGATAAAATTATTGCTTCCAATTTTTTGGAATTCTCTACTCTAATAGTTCGTTTCTCATATCAATTCACAGGCTGATCTCTTGTACGGCATTTCATAGGCTACAGCAAATTTATTTTCACATTTTTTTTCTATATGAGGTATTCCATGGCAAATAAGTCAACAGCTGACTCTCATCCTCTTGGAAATTGATTGGAATTGGTGGGGGGAGGGGCTGGAAAATGTATTTCTCAATTTCTTTCAGATTTTTTTGACAGACCATTTTGGCGATATGATTTTTCATTTGTTTTTTCTTTTTTTGTCAATAACTCGGGTTCTATTCAGCCGATTTTTAGTTATGACGCGTCAAAATTTTCCATTTTCCATTAGCTATAAGAAGATTCTGGGTATTTTTTTTCCAATCCCTAGGTGCCCATAATACCGAATTTTCAAAAAAAATAAATAAAAACTTGTATTTTCTAAATTATGTCTTATTTTATTTTTCTCATCTTTTTTTCAGTAACTCTTGTAATTAAAACAAGTATTTTGAGCCATCATACAAGTTGTGTTTCGTCCTGGATCTATTTTATTTTTAATTTTTTCTTCTCGAAATTCCACGAATTTGGTCAAAACATCCTAAAACGACTTCGATTACGTAACAAAAAAATATGTAACATATAAGTATACATTGAAATACACTTCATACTGTTTATAATCAAAGTCAATCAACGCCATTTTGGGCGTCAAACATTCAATTTTTGTCTTTTTCAAGTTTTTGTCGATGCATATCTAAAAAATTTGCGTGGAAAAAATACTTGAAATTTTGGAAATCGTTTTCACATGTCCTCAACAACATATGATCCAAATTTTAGGTCTTCAGTTCATTGCGAAATTTTCACCAAGTATAACTCACTGAAGAAGTACCTTAATAAAATCTTCTAGAATCTTTCATTCTCCAGGTATTCACCTACACGAGAGCTTTCGGCCCATCTCATTCGATCCCTTCACTCCAAAATTAATCACAACTTAATCTTCTCCAAATTGAAACGAATCAAACTTTTCACTTCCATTCAATGCCACTAATTTGTAAACCAATTTGACAACATGTTCCGCAGTGATTCCGGCATTTGCGAACATCGGGCGGACAACTCGTTTAATAATTCATGAAACGTTGATTGTATCAATGTTAAATCTACACCGAATTATTTTCCAATTCTGCAATTCACCCCCCATTGTCCCCCTCTCACTAATTATCCCTTGAACAATGTCAAGTTGTACGTCGATATAAAACTCGTTTTCATAATGCACCTAGTTCACAGCCATTGACCCACTCCCCATTCAATTTGACGATGAAAATCGAAGAGCGAGGTCAACGCTGTGTCAACTGCCTCGAGTCTGCACTTCTCAGCCTTGGTACTCGATAATTGAGTCTTCCACATGTCTTATTCAGGATGAATCAGTCCACTCATCAGTTTTCATGTGCTTGGTTACGCTTGCACAGCGAACAGCCAGTAAAATTTGCATAAAAATTCAATATTAATGAGAAGATGATTAAATGATCATTTTAACAGTTTTTTCTGTATTTTATTCCAATTCAACTGAACTTCCCCTTATTATACATATATATCTCGAAAACAAGTCGTTCAAAAATCAAAGATCATGGGGACCTGTCCTGAATCTAATAATATTTCCCGTAAAAAAATAACGCTTGACAACTTATATTGCAATTATTCTTCAGATAACTCGAAAACAAATTTAGCGATGATCATGCGCTCATCTTCATAAAGAACAAGTTTAACCCCTTATGGACGGGGCCCTTCTGTTACCAAGCGCAGTGTACGCTCAATCCAACTCGAATTCGATCATTTCTAATGAATGGAAAATTATAAAACCAGTATCTAATTAAAGCTACATTATTCCGGTTTCCAGTTTTATTTTCCTGATCAAGTTATTCTTCATAGATTTGGAAATAATCAATTTTGAAAACAAGTGTTCACATTCGCATGAGTCGATACCAAGCATCGATCCCGTACGTGAGGGGTTGAAGAAATTAATCCAAAAATAATTTTTATAGAGAATTTCAGTGGTCAAACGGTTTAAGTCGATTTTGGCTATTGGCCAGTTTTCAATGAATATCTCGAAATCTAAGGGAGATAGCAAAATTTTTCTCATAACTTTTTTAGTAGCAATAAATCGCTCTACAAAAAAGGTTATTATGAAAATTTCGCTATCTCCCTTAAATTCGGAAACATTTCTGGAAAACTCAACTAACGACTAAATTGACTTAAACCGTTTGACCACTTCGCTACTGATTTGACTTTCTGGCGGGAAAAGATTTTTCAGATTTTTCTTAAAATCTACTCCTAGGCAAGATTTATAGAAGATGTTTTGAATCACTTTGCACGTTACTCTGTCATTAGAACTGATAGTTCAATTTTTTTGACACATATCCCCCGAATAATGGGGTTCAACTAAATTGATCACACCGATAGGAAGGATTAATTATTGTTAAAAAATGGATTTGGTTGGAGGCTAGGGTCTATCCGGTCTCACCGAGTATTCATTCGTTAATAGTTAACAAATGCATATTTGAGGAACCTTGTTTTGACGTGACTTTCACTTTTCAACTGTACCATTTGTTAACTATTAGTTAATATTTATTTTTTCACATTCAACTCTACCATTCGTTGATATAGTTAACGAATCTCGTTTGGAATAAATGGATCATTCTATCAGTGCAGACGAAATTTTTTGTAGTGAACTGCATTGACTATAAAGAAGGTTCTTTGACATTTCTGAATGATCCTACTAGTGTTAAAGATATCCAGGGAAAAGTCTGCATAAAAAATCCGATCGTCCAAAACAGATCATCAGATTTTTTTGAAATCACTTCAAAGGGAGGAGGTTTATTTTTGAATTCATCGAAAGACATCTCTCTTACAGAATCTTATGACCTGCAAAAAAGGTCCTTTGATATTTACCTTTAAATGTACTCATTCTCGAGATTCTTACAAAATCACCTGTAGGACAATTTTGCATCTATCGCAACTGATCGTTCTTTTTTCATGGCAAATATTTCCTAAGCGATGGTTTTTAGATGAACGACTTTCTTGTGAGAGTTTCATCACTCATTGGAAAGGTCCCATGACAATATTCTTAACGTGTGCTAGTTCCAATGTTATTTACAAAATCATCAGTACAAAAAGTCTGAACGTACCAGTGAAACAGGTCGTTGGATCATTTTGAAAATATCTCAATGAAAAGGTTTAGATAATTCAACAATGAAGTATTTTTGAAGAGCATTGTATCAGTTAATTTTTCGAAAAGGAACGATTTGATTTTTATTATCACTTTCATGATGTTTAATTTTCAGTATTCAGGGTCCACAAAAAGTTGGCAGAATTTAATTGTTCTTCTTTAATCATCAAAATGTTAATGGAACTTTATTAAAGGAATGTCATATCAATTTTGGGGAATTACGCAAAGGGCTTTTCTCATTCCTGGAGAATTTTATCATCCACCAAAAAGATCATCCAACATTTTACACGAGGCCTACTGGTTCGTGGGATATTTCCAAAATAATCTGCACAAAAATATCAGTGTCAATTACACAAAAATTTAAAAGACTTTTACTGAGATACTAATTATTATTAGCGCAATACAGATGATTAAAGCGATTAATTCAATCCCCTCCCCTTGAGAATTATTTACACTCTCTAAAATTGCTCATTTATCAAACCCTAAAGTAATGTGTGACACTTTAACTTCAGCTAGTGCAGCTAAACATCCCAGTGAATTGCCACTCGTCCAACCCATTAAGCTTTCAGCTTTTTCGCATAACTACAAAGCCCACTTCCTTTCATCCTACGTGTCTAGAGATCGCTAATTAATTCATACCCACTCCCATTGATTTTTTCGCATTTCCTTTGATGTTTAAGGAAATAAAAAAACAAACCTATAAAAATAAGTAAGAAATAGAGAGGAGGACTGAGAGGGTGCAGCCCACTCGTTTCGTTTATTCGATGGGCATTTATCCGAGTTATATCCGGCGAGGGTAGAATACACGTCTCGGCTCATATCGTTTTTTCTCTTCGTTGGAGGAAACTATCGATTGATGCCTTAGCTCTCCGCAAGCTTGTGTGTACAGTTATGCGAAACAGGCGCAAGTCCAAGATATTTCTCTTTTCGTCTCAAATCCCTGGAGTATTTTTTCTTCACACAAAAATTATTTGAAATTGAGAGTAAGTTGAGTGATGTAACCAGATGTTTCGGGCAGGGCTACTGAAAAATGACTTGCCTTAT